CTATCCTACCACGGTGGTGTCATCAGCAAAATTGTAAATGGTGTTCGTTTGAAATTTGGCTATACGGTCATGGGTGTACATGGAGTACCGTAGGGGGCTGAGAACGCATCCTTGGGGGCTCCAGTGCTGAGCGTTGTCGTAGAGGAGGTGCTGTTGCCTATCCTCACTGATACCATTTATGGGTCAGGAAACTGAGGATCTAGTTACAGAGGGCAGAGTTTTGAGATTAGTCTGGAGGAGATTATGGTGTTGAAGTCAGAGCTGAAGGAGTAGGAGCCTTTGTCAGTGTCCTTGTTGTCCGCATGTTTCAGGGATGAGCGTAGGGCTAGGGAAATGGCGTCCACTGTTATGTTAGTAGGCAAATTGAAGGGGATCGAAGCAGGCTGGGAGGCTAGAGTTGATGTGGGCCATGCCCAGCATTTTGAAGCACTTCAGGATTATGGAGATCAGAGCCACTGCTCAGTAGTCATTAGGGCATGTGGCACGTGCTTTCTTTGGTACCTCTCCTCAATAGAAAGTCTGTATATCTAGGATCCAGTGCTAGTAAAACCTTTCTTTGGATAGAGGGAGCACAACTGTTGACCGTTTTCCAGGAGTGGTCTAACTGTACCTTGTATAATTCTAGCCTGACTCACCTATTGTTATGTTCTATTCCCTTTGAAGTAAAGGCCAACATTCAAAATGGAATGTTTCTGATCACCTGCTGAACCTGGATACTAGCTTTTTGTGTTTCATGCACAAGGACTCCGAATCCCTCCATGCTGCAGCTTTCGACAGTCTTTCTCTGGCTACATAATATTCAGCTCCTCAAATCTTCCTGCCCAATTGCATGACGCATAATATTTTCCTATATTAAATTTCATCTGCCTGCTCACATAATCTGTCCATCTCCCCCTATAGTCTCTGTGTCATCCTCAGCACTTGCCTTCCCACGCATTTTGTGTTATCGGTAAACTTGCTTCCATCATCTAAGTCAGTAGTACATATTGTAGTAATTATGATCCCAGCACAGAGCCCTGTGGCACTCCGCTAGTTACAGTTTGCCATCCTGAAAATGTCCCCCTTATCCCAACTCACTGTCTTCTATTAGTTAAACAACCCTCTATCCATGCTAATATATTACCTCCAACTCCTCTTATTAAGTGGCACATGCAGTACCTGTCAAATATTTTCTGAAAATCCAAATATATTACATTTACTGCTTTCTCTTTATCCTGCTTGTTATGTCCTCAAAGAACTGTGATAACTTTGTCAGCTATGATTTCCCTTCGTAAAGCCATGCTGACTGTACTTCATTATATTATGTATCTTTAAATGCTCTGCTTTTGCATTCTTTATTATAGATTCAGTCATTTCCCAATAACAATGTTAAGCAAAAAGCTAATCACCAGTTTTTTGTTTCATTCCATTTTTTTCATAAAGTGTTACTTTGCCAGATTTCCAATACTCTGGAACTTTTCCAGGATCTAAGAATTCTGTGAAAATTGGTGCCAGTGCATTCACTAACTCTGCAGGCACTTCGTTTAATATGCTCATTGGGCATTTGATGTCATATTTTGGTTGTCACAATGGATAGGGTTGCCCTTTTGATGCTGAACATGGGTAATATCTAGGCAGTACAGTGGCTCAATGGTTAACACTGCTGCCTCAAACGGTTTGAGTCCACCCTTGGGCGACTCTGTGGAGTTTGCATGTTCTCCCTGTGTCTGTGTGAGTTTCGTCTTGTATCTCCAGCTTCCTCCCACAATCCGAAGATGCACAGGTTAGGTGGATTGTCCATGCTAAGTTTCCCGTAGTGTGTATGGAGGTGGAGACTATGGAGAATGGGGTTATGGGGATAGATTAGGGGGCTGGGTCTGGGTGGGATGCTCTTTGGACGGCCGGTGGTGTGCCAATGGGCCGAATGGCCTTTTTCTGCACAGTAGGCATTCTATGACTCTCAATGTAGCAACCTAATTATAATTGTTTTTTTTGGTGATGTTATGGCTGAATTTTTTTAAACAAAGGATCTCCAGTTCTTGGGAGGGGTGAGGTGGAACATTGATTAAATTGAATAAAAATCATCTCAACCGTATACATGGAATTCAGTTTGCACAACTTGGAAAATGTTTTGGAAAAAAAAAATCAGAAGTTTAAATAAATACATACTGAAGATTTTATTGTGTTTGGGTGTGATATCATGATGCTTCTGAGAAATTGTAGGAGAGATTATTGAAACTGATCATGAAAAGAATCTTGAAAAATTTTTTTTAAACCAAGGTGTGTCACTAAACCCGTCTGTATTTGATGGTTGAAGTTCTCAGACAGTGAGGTGTGTCATTCATCTCCAGGGTAACAGCTATATTGAAGTTAAAACAAGTAACAGCATGTGATAATGACCTTCCAGCTCTGAGTTTTATGAAGAATCCTGTTTAGGCTTGCCAAGCCTTTTTAATTTTATTTATTTTTGACATGTTTTGTGGCTTCTGCAATTTAAATAGGTTTCTGATCGGTCTCTTCACTGGTCATAAATCTCACTTATAACATTCACCAAGATTGATAGCTCTTCTGAGTGTGCAACTCCTTGTTAAAGCTGTGTACTCAGTATATTTTTGAATTATTATTCCGTTACACAGGATTTACAGTAACCCTTGATATATTAGGAAAAGAAAAAGACACCAGAAGGAAGGAAAAAAAAGCTTTACAACTGACAGCACTTTAGATTCCCTTTTTCTGGTTATGTAAGACTGCTCTGATCAGACGCTTGTAAATCATTGCAAGTAATGTCTAACTGGAAACATTCTGACAGGGGGAGCTTGATACTATTGGATCTGCAAACAATTACAATTATATGTAATGTGGAAATGTAGTTAATTATCTGCATTATCAGTCCTATTAATCTGACTTCATTACCTTGCCATTTTCACTCAGAAATTCATTAAGAATTCGTCCTCAGGCATGACAGATACATGGTCTATCGGCATGTTAGTTTCTTTTAATAATTTTCTTTCATTTTGTGATCATTAAGAATTCATAGCTTGTGGGTTTCAGAACCCAGATTCTAAATAATAGGTACTTAATATCACCAAGTCTACATTGGCAGTCTTTAAAATGGGAAAAGGGAATGGATTTAAGAGGATTCAGAGGGAAGGCAGAATGTGTTGAGTTGTATAGTTACCCAGGAGTTTGACTTAGTTTAAGGTTGCCTGCTGTTTCCTATTATTCACTATTAATTCATTTATTACTATTTAGGCAAGTCCATCAGATATCTCTCAAGCTTTCCGCTCTAATTCCAAGTCAGATGTTTACACAGAATCTCAGGAGGTGGACAATGCCCATCAGAAGTTTAAGTTTCTGGGGCAGTTCCTGCAGAGTCAGGGCACTGAGGTATCTGAGGGCTCTGACATGCATGAGATTGGAAGCCCTGAGCCACTAGGCCAATGTTCCAGTGCAGCATTGAGAAAGTGCAAGTGTGTCCAAAGTGCTATCTTCCAGATAATATATTGAATCAAGATTTCATCTGGCGCTTCTTTAGCACGATTGAGATAAAAGAAGGGAATATTCCAGCAGTCCAGTTCAGCAATTAATCATTATCCAGCATACCAAAGTGATTATGAAACAAAGACCTGCCGATGCTGCAAATCTGAAACAAAAACCGAAATTGCAGGTGAAACTTAGCAGGCCTGGAAGCATCTCTAGGAAGAAAGCAGAGTTAACATTTCAATTCCAGTGATCCTTAGAACTAAAGCGATTATCTCGTCATTATCACATTTCTGTTTGTGGGTGGTGACTATGCTCAAATTGATGGCTGCATTGCCCTGTATTGCAACAGTGACTGCACTTCAAACACAGTGCTTCAAAAATTGTGAAGTGCTTTCAGATTTTTTTTCGACTGTTGGGACGTGGACATTTCTGGCTGGCCAGCATTTATTGCCCATCCCTAATGCAGTTGCGACGGGGATGATGAGCTGCCTTCTTGAACCGCTGCAGTCCGTAGAAATCCTTACTACTGCCAGTTGGATGTATGTGTCAAACATTATAAAGCCAATGTCAATCTAAGAACAGGTCTCTGAACCACATTGTTCATCATGAGTGAAGGTAATAGCCAGGCTAGAATTTGATTCAATTCTTAATAAGATGCAACAAGCAACTTCAAAGAAAATAGAATAATTAACTTTTTAGTTTAGGACGAGAGAAACTTGTCCATTGACCCTGTGCTGCTGCTCTTCCCCCATCTGACTGATCAACATCAAAATCCTGTTCTTCCCTGATGCTCTTGAAATAATATTCTTCATTGAAAATTTCCTCGAAATAGTTTTGGTTCCGTAGAAAGATCATTTGGCTCACTTTGGACTATCCAGGTTTCCTTAAACAGCACAGTGTTTCATTCTTCTTCTACTCATTCTTGATATGTACGAGCAACATGTATTTCGGAGTTAATCCCTATTCATATTTCAGTGAATTGCCTAAACTTTGCTATCCATTTTGGTCAGTTTTTTTTACAGGCATCTGGAGCAAGTTGAAATGAAGTGCTTAAATTAAAATGCCCCGATTTTGTGTACATCTAAATATTTGTCTTTTTTTTTGAAAGGAAGAAAGTGAGAGAGAAAATAATTTATTTTTTGTACTGTATTCTGTCCATCTAAGTGTGGAGATCTGCTCCTGAACCTCAGGGAAAAGATTCTCGACTTGGTTTTCTCCCATCTCAGTTTGCCAGGAATGTCCAGGATTTGTATGGAATTGAAAATCACTCTCCAATACATTGAGATTTAGTTTTTAATGGTCATGGGCAAACCAGGAGAAAAATCACAATCATCCTAATGGTGAATGTAAGATGGTTAGAGGTGTGAGCATATTCAGGAATGTTTCTGAACAAAGTTGTCAAGCCTTTTCTCCACAGATGGTACCTGAGCTGCTGAATGTTTGAAGCATTTTAAGTTTTTGTTCCAGATTTCCAGCATTGGCAATGGTTTACCTTTTGTTTTCCACACTAACTTCTTGAAATATGTTCCGTATTTTAGCTGGACAATGCTGATGAACAAGCAGCTCAGATTCGACGTGAACTTGATGGGAGACTGCAGATGGCCGAGCAATTAGCTAAAGTGAGTGTTGACTGATAATGAATGCTGTATGTATAATGAATATTAGAACTGTATTTAAAATGAAACAATGCAGATTTACCCATGTTGAGCATTCAGTTGAGTAGAGAAATGAGTTACAAATGTCACAGCAATGCCATTTGGGGACGTGATCACATTGAGATGACTAACAGCATCCATGTAAAGGTGATGAAGATTCCTGCGAATAATGCACACTCCCAGTCTAGAAACATTACTTGCTTCAGAAGATTTTCATCACACAATCATGGAAATCCTCCAGTGCAGAAAGAGGCCATTTGGCCCATCGCATTTGCACCAGCCCTCTGAACGATGTCCCGCACAAACCCAGCTTCCTGCCCTATCATTGTAACTCCACACTTACTGTGGATAATCCACTGAGACTGCACATGCCTAGACATTATAGACAATTTAGCATGGGTAACCTACCTAACCTGCACATCTTTTGGACTTTGTTTCATCTTTTGCATCCACATTTGACTGTGGCTGTTGTAAGAAGCTAAGCAGGTTGATTTTGTCCTGCACATAGAAATATTCAGTTTACCAGGTGCAAGCAGAAATGCTTTCCCTCTTTGTGGGACAGTGGTGAAAGCATTCTATGCAGTGACCCCAAATAGAGTTGATGACACTAATTGGACTCATTCTGCAAGATTTAATTGTACAGTTTTCTGCCTCCAAGTTTCCCAGGCTCAGCATGGTTGCTCAGCATGACTATCCTCTCAGTGCCCTGCCTTCACATCTGAATTGGGAAGTGAATAGATTCTTCATTACCTATTGAATGATGCTAGACATAGTCAAATATCTTTTCTCAATTTCAGTATTCTATAAACAATGAGTAGAAATGTTCAAAGCAAGTTTTATTTTTAATACTTCTTTATATTTTTTTCCTCTTCCCTAGTTGCTCACAGCACTGTCCTGAAGATTCATCTTCAATTCCCGGAGACTATTCTGGAGTGTTAGAAACACAAACATGTAGTCACTACTGTTACTATAGGCTTCTTGGGCCTACAAGGGGAATTCAAATTTAAATTCAAGTAACAGAAAAGGGCCATGTTTAGGTCAGTTTAAACTTATAGACACATTTCTCACGAGCACCGAATCACAATAGAAGGAGGGAGTTGAGTCAATTGTCCTTGTTTATGTTGTTAGCCCATGCATTATTCGCTGTACTTTCACAGTATCCCGCAGTGTCTGTCATTGGCACAACAATTGTTATTATCTTATTTGTTCTAACTACATCTGGATTTTTTTATTATTCCACTCTTATTTTGTTTTTAAAGGAACGAAAGTTTCTGAAGTTTGTCCAGAAGGATATGGAGAATATGTACATTGAAGAGCTGAAATCATCTGTTAATCTGCTCATGGCCAACTTGGAAAGCCTGCCAGTGGCAAAGGGAGGCCCAGAGTTTAAACTACAGAAGTTGAAACGGTCCCAGAATTCCTCCTTTTTGGACATTGGAGATGAAAACGAAATCCAGCTCTCAAAATCTGATGTTGTGCTGTCATTCACGCTGGAGGTTGGTTAATTGGGATTCATGAAATCCTTATGCCATTGAGATTTTAAATTTGCCACTGATCAGTTGAAAAATGATTTGTTGGCATTTTACCATAAATGGAAAGACAAGAATGAATTTGTTCTTTTCTGAGATCCTGCTGCACGAACCCCTAACAGCTGAGTTTGAATGGAGCTGAAAGATGGGAGATTTAGTTTTAAAGGTCACAAGTGAAATGGGCAGGATCTGTTTATCTTTGGGAGACACCGGGATACATTTGATCAGGTGCCGGGGATTACCTACCTTTAGGCATTTTAAGATCTCCAGGACTTCCTCTTCTGTAATGAGGACTCTTTTTTTTTCAAGACATCACTATTTCTCTGAGTTCCCTAGATTCCGTGTCTTTCTCCTAAATAAATACCGATGCAAAATATTCATTTAGGCTCTCGCACATCTCCTGTGATTCCACACACAGACGGCCTTTAAGGGACCCTATTCTCTCCCGAGTTGTTCTTTTGTCCTTAGCCTGCTTATAGAATTTCTTTGGATTCTCTTTAACCTTATCTGCCAAAGCTATCTCATGTTTCCTTTTTACCTTCCTGATTTCCCTCTTAAGTGTTCTCCTATACTCATCAAGGGATTCACTTGATCCCAGGGATAGTAAAAGCTGCCGATGCTGGAGTCCGAGATAACACAGTGTGGAGCTGGAGGAGCACAGCAGGCCAGGCAGCATCAGAGGAGCAGGAAAGTTGATGTTTCGGGTCAGGTGTCTATACCAGATATATGCCTCTTTCTTTTTCTTGACCAGAACATCAATATCTCTAGTCATCCAGTGTTCTGTTCTCCAGCCAGCCTTGCCCTTCACAGTAACAGGAAGATGCTGGGCCTGAACCTCATTATTGCAGTTTTGAGTGCCTCCCACTTGTGAGTCAACCCTTGACCTGTGAACAGCCTCCCCCAGTCAACTGTTCAAAATTTCTACTTAATACCATTAAAATTGGCCTTGCCTCAATTTAGAACTTTAACTTTTAGACCAGGCCTATCCATTTCCATAACTATTTTAAAACCAGTAGAATTATGGTCACTGGGCCCAAAGTGCGCCCCCACTAACACTTCAGTCACTTGCCCTGCCTTTCTTCCCAAGAGGAGGTTGAGTTTTGCCCCTTTTCTCGTGAGACCATCTACATATTGATTTTGACAGTTTTCTTGAACACACTTAACAAATCCAATATGACTGTTCAGAAGTGTACGGAGGAAGGGACATAATGGACTCCAAACTTTAACTATTTCCCTCTCCACAGATATATGCTAGATGTGCTGAGTTTCTCCAGCATTTTCTGATTTTATTTCAGATTTCCAGTGCCTGCAGTAATATGCTTTTATTTGACAGCAGAGAGGAACCTGCTAAAAACTGAAGGAGGAGTGATTTTAAATATCGCAGTTAGGTCCAACATCTCCAGATTTTCAGATATCTCAGGGGACATCCTGATATCAGAAATAAAGACAGCAGCTCCAAGGGTCTGAGGAGGACTGACCAAAAAGCAAGTTTGTAAGGGTCATTGCATTAGGGAGATTTTTTTTTGCCATTTGACAGTCTTCTCTAGTAACCACAATACAAGAAATGCAAAGTTCTGATCTCATGGTGACTTTCATTGTTGATCAAATGTCACGACATTGGCCAGCATTGATATTCCTGAAGTTTACTTTCTGCAGATTGGATCTGCCTGGTTTGTTTGATGTGAGTGAGGGAGCGCACTTCCTAGATAAAGTTTGGCTGTGGAAAATTGATCTCTCTATACACTGCATTAATGAATGGAAGGTTATCATTTTGTTCTACAGTTTGGCTGATATGGTTACCTCATTGCATTGTCATCAGGCACACAAGATTAATGACAGTAACATTAATACTAATGAGCATCACTTCTCAATTCACCCTGGACTTTTCTGCTTCATTTGGGTGGGATGAGAATGCTACAGGGCTAATAGCAGATAAGCTCCTAGTCACAGGGATTTTCCCTGCACAGAGCTGCACAAATACATGCAGGTCAGGCTTTGAACAGATGTCATTGCCTGCACTTCCGTTTGCACCCAGCCTGTGCAATCTAACATAGTGTTTGCCCGTGCTATGTGTGAAGTTGGCAGATCATAGTTCTGTGACTCAATAACCTAAAACATTTCCTTTAAAAGTCTGCAAAACACTTTCCTAGGACAGACATCAGCTGTGTCTTGCATGTTACCCCACTCTATATAACTTGAAGTCACTGAAACGGTTATGTTACAGAACACGAACAAATTTTACTGCAGAAACGTATCATTATCCTTTCTAGGAATCAATTGCATAATAGTTTGGAGAAAGACAGAAAGTGAAACTGGAATAAAATGAGAAAGTCTACAACTCTGTCAGTTAATTAGTTCTGGCTTTATTATAGACTACCAACACGTGTCCATCATCAGACAATTGTCCACTAAATGATGCTAGTCTAAAGCATGATATTGTCCTGCTCTGTCTGTTTGCATTTGTAGATGGATTGGGAAGGATTGGTGGTCAAAGTGAAAAGCTGAGGAAAGAAATTATATGGAATAAACAACAAGTAGTACATTCCCATATAGTGGAGAGGAGCTGAATTCTGGTAACTACTTAACTGGTTTCCCAAGAATTACGACATTTAGAATCAATATTCTTAAGCTGCTGATGAAAACAATCGCAGGTTGTAAATGTTGGGACATGCACCCAATTTGATCTTTCTTTCTACAGCCAGTTGCCTGGGATTACAGTCTTTATGTACAGAAGTTTTGATAGTTTCATGATTATTCAGGTATTATCCTTTGCCAAATAGCATGAGGTCACTTCTATTGAGTCATTTTCTGGCGCTTTTGCAGGTAACATTGCTGCTTCTTGTAGGATCAGAGTGAGATGTTCACATGCCAGCTGTTGGTGAGGTGCTCCTGGGGTTCCCATGCATGAGGATTTCTTGATAGAGGGTGTAGGGGAATGGATAATTCAGGTACTGTTATTGGGCTTACATAGTTTGATTTATTTTTGGTTGGTCCACAACACAGCCACATTATAGAGCAGCTGCATAATTTGAATATTGTTCTGGGAGAGTCGAATGAGGCTTGTGCACAGTTTCACATCATTCACTGACAGTGGCCCATACTGGACATCTTGCACACTGCAAGTCCTGTGTATAGAAAGTGAGCACTGGTGGGGTTGGATGCCAGTCATCAATCCCACTTTGCATATGATTGATTTAAAATGATTAACTCTTGCTTTTCAGGGATATTTTGCAGCCCTTCATTTAAGCCAAATGTGATCACTTGAATCTAATGCCCCCAGGTCAGGAAATTTGATGCATTTGATCATACTTCATTGAGTACCTTAACCGAGGAGACTCTGACTGGATCTTTAGTAGAAACAATATTTCTTGGGACATCGTCACTTTTGCGAAATAAAAATCAACTCAAGCCTCAGAATGAATCTATGCAACTGAATTAATTAATTCTAATATGTCTTCCCAGGCCCACCCCAACACTGAGCAATTGACTTTCGAAATTAGATGCCCAATTAATGCTGTGTCTAATAATACATTTCAGCACAATGTGTACATCTCTGAATGGCGTTGAATCATATTGTGGCAAGTGCAGGTGGTGACATAAGCCTTTGGAAACTTGGTAGTTCTGAAGTTACTGGGAGCAAGGAAATGTCAGTGCTATGGAAGGAATTTGGTTTAGCACATGTGGTACAGTTTGTAAAGTTTAGCAGCCACCTTCTAGGGCACACTTTGATGTCTGACTGCACTCGGTGATTGTTTTGCTGAACAAGAGACCCATGCCCACACCTAGTGGTACCATTTTCACTCACCCGTACTTTCGTCTGCTTCCTAATGGAGGATTGGTAGAAAAAGGCCAATGTTCTTTGTGCTTCAGACTTTCAGCTAAGCAATCCTAAAATTCCAGTGCAGGATGCCATCCATGATGGAGACACCAACTCTTACTTCTGCTAATGCGTAAGCATACAGTCTTTCAAACAGTACCAGTCCTGGTAACAAGAAGAATGTGTTTTCAAAGATCTTCCGTCACTGTTTCTCAAGCTTCTTAATTGTGTTTTTAGATTGTTATAATGGAAGTTCAGGGGTTGAAATCAGTGGCACCCAATCGTATTGTGTATTGCACAATGGAAGTGGAAGGTGGAGAAAAACTTCAGACTGACCAAGCGGAAGCCTCAAGGCCACAGTAAGTGACTGTATTTTGATCTTACAGATGTGTTTTGTCTGGAACATCTACACCTTGTTTACTGTTTGCAGAAGCTCTGATCTTGTTCACATTTCATATCATTGTGCTTCCAAATGGTACTTGCTTTCCTAAGTGGCCCTACACATCACAGTATTCATCCGGAGGGAATCTACATATTAGCCATGTTGTGCCACACTGGCCCTCAGCTTATTGTACCTTATACCATCGTGTGTGTGTGTGTGTGTGTGTGTGTAATATATATATATTCTTGTTCATTCTGAATTCAATGCAAGTTTCTCTTCAAACCTCACCCTGAAGTTGTTGACTCGTGGTAGCTGTATGTTTTCATGAACACCCTCCTGTACTTCACCTCGTTCACCCCTCAGCTCCGGTGATTGCATGTACTTCAAGTGTGAGGTTGACAGGACAAGCATGATGAGTCAGTTATATGTGTCATTGCAATTGAGCCCATTTCTATCCTCACCTGCAATCCAGACACACACATATCCGGTGAGGATAACGGAAGCACTGATCAACTTCATTCTCCCCAACCTTGGGACGTTTGAATCAGTCCTGGTCAAGACCAGATACCTCAAGACAATTTATACTTGGAATCTCATCCACAAGGTATAGTTACTCACTCAAAAACATGCTGAGTCATTAGGAGGATGGCAATGTGGCAAGAAAACACACTCACTTGTCATTAACTGTGTGTATGATATTTGTAAGCATACTGTAAGGAAAATAAACCTGGGCCAGGTGTAATGAGTAGTCTTTCTTTTTATCAAACATACTACCAATACATCAGAGCTTTTAAATTGTGCAGTGATCTCTTTTGGCATTTTATTATACCACTGAAAGAATAGAGCTCTCTGCTTTGTAAGCTCAGACTAGTTTTTAATGCATGTCGTTGAACAAAAGGTGTTACCCTGTTATTCTGTGTTGAATAAGAACAGAAACTAGAGCAGAGATGTCAGCTGAATCACTTTGAGTTCAATATTAAATATAAATGTACCTTTCATGCCTATTGTTTATATAACTATAGCTTTTCAAAACGATGCAATGTAACTACGGCCTTCTCTCTGTCTAAATGAATAAAACACGTACGGCAAAATGGAAAGGATGAATGATCTGGTGGGGCACTAATAGGTGCTCATCTAATTGCTGTTTTCATTGGTAATTGGCTATTAAAATAAACACCATCCATTTTAGCCATTTTTGTCATTTTGTTGAATGTGTTTTTCAAGGCCATTGGGTACATTTCTCGAAACATTTTTTTTTCATTAGGAAGTCTGAGTGAAATGTCAAATAAAAAAAGCTGCACTATGGAGGGCAATGTTAAAGTTGTAAAGGAAATTAAAGATATTGAGATAAATCAGAAAGTGACGATGGGACACTTCGGTTTTTAAAAAACTGTTTGAGAAAGGAAAAGCTGCAGGTGAGAAGGCCCAAAGTTTGAAATGGTGGGAAGGGATTTCTTAGAATAGAAGGCAGTGGAAATAACCACAAAACCATAAGATGTAGGAACAGACAGAGGCCAGTCAGCCCATCTGTTTCTACCATTCAATGAGATCACAGCTGATCTGATCATCCTCAACTCCACCTTCCTGCCTTTTCCCCATAATCCATGATCCCCTTACTGATTAATAATCTATTTTTCTCAGCCTTGAATATCCTTAATGACCCAGCCTTGACAGACTTCTGCGATAAGGAACTCCACAATATACTCAGAGATGAAATTCATCTTTACGTGACCCCACATTCTGAAATTAAATCCTGTGGTCCTAGAATCTCCCACAAGAGGTACTAAACTTTCTGCATCTACAGACATAATCTGGTTTCAACCCTGATGCTCTGGAGAGGAGGAATAAACTGGATTACTTTGTTAATTAGAGGGGATTTAAAGAAATTTTCATCACCCAATATCTAGCTGATGCTTTCACGTTTTTTTTAACTGATTGCAAACTAAAACCAATTAATGAAGAGTATCTTTGTTCAAAGCGTTGACCAGTTCACCTTTTGAAAGTTTAGAGAAGTGCACGTTAGGACAACAGCCTAAGATTATGATAACCAGTCACAAAGCATGAGGCATTGTTACATCCCAGTTCCCAAACTTTCACACGTCTAAATATTGGAAAATGTAAAGGAAATTTTGGATATTAAGGATGTGGGTGCTGTTTATAGAAGAGATATTTAAACCGTGAGAATATCCAGAGCAAGCCCACAATGAGGAACACTGATTAATATCCCAATTCTGTAATTAGCTTTAAGAATTGTCCACCTGCCTAATTCCATTCTTCACAGCCAGATTTTCTCCTGCAACCCTAAGAGAGATCTTCACATCTTGAAGGGCATCGTAATTAATTATGTCAAAATAACTGATGTGTAGGCAAACATAGTATCCATTTTTGCACACAGCAGCATCCATGAATTAAAAAAGTTAAATTTATATAGCACCTGCTGTTGTCTCAAGATCCTCCAAAATGTCTTGCAGCCAATGAAGTATGTTTTAAGGCAGCTACAGCTGTAGGAAATACTGCAAACAATTCATGCACAGAAGCGTAAATGTAGTTAATTCAAGTCTAAAACCTTGTAAGTGAACATGTATCAGTTTTATTAAATATAACTATATACAGGGAATTGTAACAATGGACATCTTCTAGAACCCTGCAGATTTGCACTGTAGTTCTGTTGGCTCCTTTTTCACACACTTAGCACCTATTCCTAAAATAATGTTATTTTTAATCCTTTACTCCACAACAACCAGTAATATGATAATGGCCAAATGGCCTGTATTAGTGAAGTTGGTTGTCCATTGTTGTTTGTCATTTATATAAACGATTAGCACAAGAACATAGGAGGCATGGTTAGCAAGTTTGGAGATGACGCCAAAATTGTTGGTATAATGGACAGTGAAGAAGGTTATCAAAGAGTATAAGAGAATCACAATCAACTGAGCCAGTGGGATGAGAAAAGGCAGATGGAGTTTAATTCAGATAAATGTGACATGTTGCATTTTAGTAAGAGAAACTAAGGCAGAGCAACACAGTTAATGGTAGGGCCTTGGAGAGTTTTGTTGAACAGAGAGACCTAGGGGTGCTGATACCTAGTTCCTTGAAAGTGGCATTTCAGGTAGACAGGGTTTAGAAGAAGGCATTTGGCATGCTTGGCTTCAGAGCACTGAGTATAGTCGGTTCTGGTATAATGCATGTTTCTTCAATGTGAATTGGCTTTAACGCGAATGAAGAATTTATACTGCTATTTGTAGAACACGAGCCTTCTTTACCTGTATTGACTACAATGCAATTCTGGCTCCGTTGGTTTAAATGGTGTGGCTATTGCACGATTTTCTTAAAATGTGAGATCACTGAGAACGGAACTATTGCGTTATATCAGAACCGACTGTACAGGAGTTGGGACATTGGTAAGGCTACGTTTGGAGTACTGCTTAAATTCTGGTCACCTTGCCATACAAGGATTATTATTAAATTGGAAATGTGCAAAAAAGGATTGCAAGAATGTTCCTGAGACTGGAAGGTTTGCATTATAAGGAGTGGCTAGATAGATTGGGATGTTTTTCCCTGGAGTGTAGGAGGCTGAGGCGTGACTTTATGGAGGTTTATAAAATCATGAGGGGCATAGATAAGGTGAATAGTCAAGGTCTTTTTCCCATGGTAGAGAAGTCCAAAACTAGAGGGCATAGCTTTAAGGTGAGAGGGGAATGATTTAAAAGGGACCTGAGGGGCAACTTTTCACACAGAGAGTAGAACAAGCTGTCAGAGTAAGCGGTAGAGGCAGGTACAATTACAACATCTAAAAGACATTTGGACAGGTATGTGGATAGAAAAGTTTTAGAGGGGTATGGGCTAAATGTGGTTAAATGGGATTAGTTCAGTTTCGGAAAACTGTCCAGCATCTACAAGTTGGACCAAAGGGTCTGTTTCCATGCTGTATGACTCTGTGGTTGTGGAATAATTATTGGGAAAACACCAGGGAGATTTCTCCTAATCATCTTCAGAACATTATGTGGTCTCATTGATATTCATTTGAAACACTGCTAAATAGAGGTGAGGCCCTTTGTCTTGTACTCATCAGGACTGACGTGCAAGAAAATCAACATTAGAAAGGAAATACCAATTCTGTACTATGAAACATTTATTCACCTGAAAGGGCATAAAGGCTATTCATCTGGAAGACAATACAGCACTCCTTCAGTGTTGGACTGGAGCATTAGTCTAAATTCTATGCTCATGTCTCTGGGGTGTGCCCTGAATTTTTAACTTAAAACTAGCAAAAGACGTCTAAAAAGAGAGGGAGGAAATAGTTTACACGCTCAACCTGTCAAGGGCTCGACAGGCTGAACTTAGTGTTGGAGGCAGGGATCATCTCAGCTCAAAAGCAGTGTCGACAGCTTGACATCGGCTGCATCTTGTCAACGACAAACAATTAGCTTCCCCAGGGGCAGCTGTTTCTATTAAGGATTTCCAGTCAATCCAGACAGCTCAGCAGCGCCAGCAGGCTGACCAAAGTGCTAGTTATTGTTGAGGCTGTGCGTGGGCAAGGATTGCCCAGCAATGGACCGAAAACAGTGATGAGTGGTCTCCTACTTGTTACGTGTAAACTTTGAGAGATTAAACAGAGAAGGCCCACAATGAAAGAGGATGCAGACAATTAAAATGGCTTGTTGTATTAGAGGACAATTCATAAACTCCTTGGGCAACTCTTAAAAAAAACACCCTTAGCCATCAGCAGTCTATGCCAACAGACTGAGGAGATTGTGGGAAGAATCAAAGTAAAGAGGAGCCCCAGCTCAATCATGATAAACTATAGAGCAACCTAATAGTTGATGGCTAGCTGCTGAAGTCCTTGGATGGTTGTGAGAAGATTTGCCCTATGTGCAATATTGTGGCAACATCCTGTAGGTCAATATTTTTGCTGATTGCAAAATAAAATCAATTAATGAAGAGTATCTTTGTGCAAAGTGTTGATCAGCCCACCTT